CGGATCCAGGAATATCAAAAGGGGGTTCAAGAAGTTGTGTGTGGGGGAACATGGCGAACACAGTGCGACCACTCAGCTGGGGAATTTTTTTTTTTAAATCTGTCCAATATCATGGACATTTTGACGCCATTTTGAGAGCATGTGCACTTGATATTTGGAAATATTCTGAAGTCAATAGTAATTACATTTAAATATACAAAAACGCCTGAAGACAATACTGCCCTTGCATTGTGTTTTCTCTTTGCCTTTTATTGGACGTGTTCATAGTGCTCCAAAATATCTAAGTTATACCTCGTCATTTGAAAGTTTTCTACAAAGAATTACTCATCACTTTCATGAAAACGCGACGGATACACAGATAGGAGGTTGAGCGGCAGGCCTGAAACACAGACGTAATTACGGCAGCCCTGATGTCCTCCTGCTGCTCTTCTGTGCTTTCTTCGATAGCTTAATGCTTCTGTCAACATATTTTTTTTACTTTTATCACGGTTTGTTTCTGGAAATATTAATCCTAAAGGTTAGTATTAAAATGTGTTTATCGTGTTGCAAGAGTGTGTAGGGGTATCGAGATATTAATGTTGTCTAGCACTCAGGATGGAAGGAAACTCTAATGTGGTTTTCTTGTATAATATATAAGTTATATGATAGACAGTCTAGTGCTGGAGATGCCGTGTGGTGGGGAGCAGCTCAGTAGAAGACGTTCGGGAGTATCGTGTTGAAGGAGGTAGATGTGCAGGAGCTTCGTTAGAGAAGGTGTTGCCTGTTGCTGGCCTCCTGGTTGAATGAATTGTTAACAGCGTGGAGCTTGCTGGAGGAGATGTTGCTTGTTCAAGAAATATGGTCAGAATGAATCTCAAGGGAGACAGAGCTTATATACCCCGCAGCAGCCGCTATGAGTCATGGTGGGAAAACCCGAGAAGTAGCCGGTGAATAGTTTCGTTGCTAAGATACGGTAACATCTGGGGACAGCTCTCGCCTGGTTGCTAGGGCAGGCGGCACATTGGAATGCGGATACGCTTGGTGGTGGGCTGTTACGCAGTTGTAGTGGAAAATTCCACTACAAGTGTTTACATTTGCTTAACGGTCCACCGATTGGTAGTTTGGTGATTGTCTGATATGCTGGGGACGCTACAAGTGGCTGTATTGGAGGGAGGCATTCGGCCATTTTCCCCTTTGCTTACAAAAAAATAAAAGAAATAAATGGGTGGAAATCAAATAATGTCCCCTTTTTTCGAATCTCATGTACCCCATGGTCAAACCTCACGGCGCGTAGCATGGCACTTTGTATGTACTGTACCAGACACGGGATCTGGCCGAAAGCAACTAAGAACACACACCAACTCAGAAATTTTTTTTTAAGAGGGTTCGTCTGACCTGTCAGTAATATTCTTTTTCGAAGGATTTTTGCTTTCATTTTGTCCCGGGTAACACACCTAGGGGCTCACACCCCGTTTACTATGAAAGAGTGAGTGGATCACTTAGATCTGACGGGCCTTACGGGCAATGCGGATACAGTTCAATGTAGACTTGACTTTTTTCGGTCCACAAAGAGATAGTATGGCAGGCTCTGTTCTCCATCTTCGCTATCCCAACTAAATGATGTACTCAACTTAGGGCTAAATGATGTACTCAATTTAGGCTAAATGATGTACTCAACTTTGGGCTAAATGATGTACTCATTTCAGGCTAAATGGTGACTCAACTTAGGGCTAAATGATGTACTTTATGTAAAAAGAGACAGACCTTCTGTATGATACTCTCGTCACATGGGTAATTACTGTACCAGCAAATCAAACCAAAACATGTTATGAATTTTGGTCTTGGTAATAATGATAGCCAGTAAATTACTATTCATCCAATTCACCATAATTTTTCCTTTGTGTAATTTGTATTAATTTTAGGTTAGATATTGGAAGTACAGTATCATCAGTTTTTTTCCTTTCTCTACTGTCACTATTTTTGTCTTGTTTTGTCTCTTCGTCATTCTTTTATAAGACATATTAGCAGAAAGGAGTGAGAAAAACAGAAGAGCAACTTAAGAACTTCACTCAGTGAAAGTCACCAATCAAATTTCCGAATATGTTCAGGAGGAGAGAAGCCGCTCAGTCACAGACAAGGTCAGTGTTGTATGTGTGTCAGTGTGTGTGTACCTGATAAAATAATGACCACTGAACAGGGGTGTTATATAGCGACGGTCCAGATAGGATTTCACTGAGATCTTATCTGATGTTAAGGTTGGAATTGAGTCTCGGTGACACTGATGTTCTGTTCTTTCTACCGAAAATCCAGACTAAATCTTGGTAATAAGTGAGTGAGCATAGTGATCTTATTATGCTTCTCTGTCTGCAGTTGATCGAATAGTGTACCATTGTTTGAATATCTGTATTTGCTGAGGATATATTGAATCAATGCAGCTATATTACCGAATAAAATGTATCTTTGCCATGCAATGATACGCTGCCAGTTACTATGATAGAAGTACGAATGATATCCATATAAAATTGTCGTTTTCGCTTAAATATTTTCAGAGAAAACGTAATTTAAGTTTTGAGGGATAACAATAAATATTTATGGAATAGTATAGGTTTGCATACAACTTTCGCCTTTAATTCTATTCTAGAAGAAGGCATCCGGTCTGTAAATCCAGAACTTCATCTTCTTGCAAGACGAAAATGAATCATGATATTATAGATACAATACTTCAGTGCGGAGACTGCTTAGCTAAGTTAGGCAAGTCATGATTTGACTTGAGGAAACCCACGAGATTAGATAATGAAAAACATCTCTTAAGAGCGATGGAAACTGCAACCCTATCTTAACTTATATACACAGAATAAAAACACATTTCTATGTCACAGTATTTTTAACTTATTTCACCACTTATCAACTCACTAGCTGTTGCGGATTAAAACAATCATACACACAAAAAGCCTTGCCCATCTATGGCGCAGGGTGGCCAGATAATTAAAAAAATGTACTGCCAGTCCACGCAAGGTGTTCCATGAGCCGCATGGGTCCCATAATATGCTAGTGTATAAAAAGTGAGTCCAGTCCTCCAACCTGATTGATATTTATTCCTGCAATTATTCTCTTGCGAGACTTAATGCTCCACCAGTTGAGTAGCATATGAATAGTTCAGTGTTGAAATATATATTTCAGTAGACTGTACAGTAATATTAATTTCTTTGGAGGAATTCGAGTTGGGATCATCAAAAGACGACATTCTTTTAATAAATGTATTCATTAGCCAGAGATCGGATAATTTTATGGAGGACGATTAACGTCACTTCTTCCACTTTAATCTCCCAATACAGTGTGTTACGTTGTTTACTGAGAGCGTCCCATCCTTCCTGTCCAACAGTATCAAGCATTTTATTTCCATAACCTTGCTGTTGAAACAACTAGAACAGAAGAATAATTTTACATATTTTCGTCTACCTTGAGTGCCAGCCTAGTTTTTAGTAACATTCAGGATTCTTATGTTTACGAATTTTGCACCTTCCACTTTGCGTTCGTGACGATTGATTGGCCTGATCCTTTCAATGGGTAATGTGCTCTTAATGGCCTGAACCAACACATCGACATTGATTCTAACACCTTCACTAGTGAACTGCGTTAGTTTATTCACAGGTAAAATGACCATTGGTTGTCTTTGAGAACTAAAGTTTGTTGTTTGAAGTAGATGCAACAGATTGATGATGAATGTGAAGAGGTTAATATGAGTGTATATATTTTTGTCATATACCGTAGTTAGTAAGAAAGAATGAAATATTGGGCAAGGCTACAATCGCTATTGTGTGACTGTCACATTGGTGGAAAGCACAATCGAGTACTGACAAAAAAATGAGATCCACAAGCTGTGTTGCAGCCCACTGAAGTACTGGGTATGTCAGGGAAGATGTAGCATAGTAGAACAACAAGTAGTGGGTGTGGAGTTAGATGGTTGGATTAACTATATATCATTTCATACAAGTATAGAATAAAAGAAATTTTGACGAAAGGGATGCCAGTGTGTGTGTGTGCAAGTTGTCTGCTTGGAGGGTAGCGTAGGTGGAAATAGTATCAGAATGGAAGAGGAGACGGAAAAAGTGTGTGAGTAGGAGGGTTGTCAAGGAGAAGGGAATGAGTAGTTAGTTAGGCGGTATTCGGTGAGCATGCTACCTGAAGATTTGGCGGGGGGGGGGGGGATTGATTCAAACGAAAAAATTAGACAGTATCTGTAAACGTAAATGAAAACCAAGTATTTTATACTGTGCGTTGTCTGACAAATGACACTTTAGTCTAAGAATGAATGAACAGAGCGTTATAGCAAATGGAAAAAAGCTCACTTCTTGACAGTCTGCATATTTGATTATTGTTAATTGTGCCCTAAGGGATTTGTTCTTTTATTATTATTGTAAGGAATCAAGCGTTTTACATGCGTACTTATTTGTTTACGCCTGGACACATCTCTCGCTTAAGAAAAATAGATAATATAAAACTGATAACCATCCAAAGCATACAATTATCATCCTGTTATTGGAATTAATATACACAGAAGAATGGTTGTCAACAACAAATTTCTTGATATGCGTGATATTGACGTGTGTTAGTCAACAAGTACTCTTTTGTACAAAACGTAGAAAATATTGCAACAATATTACAACCGACATTATTCATTTCCTTGAAAAGTAGACTTAAGAATTCAATTTAAGTGATCTTGGCGCTTCCAGCATCCATGGAAGGGAGAGCGCCTGTGTTATTGAGTTTTGTATGGTTGGCAGCCTTGACGCGCGTGCGGACACTGGATCTAAACAAAGCATTCTCTTAGGATATAATGCCTAACAGATTTTTTGGATAACGGTAATATAATCAACAACGCGAAAATTATAAATGATACTTAAACATTTGGTGGTCGTTTTAATGTTCAGAAAGTTGTATCTCGCAGAGACTGTACAGTTATCTATGTTACAAGACAGTGAGCGGTATTGCCTAAGGGAACGAATGTTACCCTATGTTTTCAGTGTGAGCCAAGATGGCAGGAGCGGAGGATGAGCCGATGCACCTCTATGAGGTGTTTCAGAACTGTTTCAATAAGATCGCGAATAAGCATACCGGTGAGTACTACATTTTCAGAAGCCTGAATGTCTTTAGAATCACCGAAGATGATATCCCAAGAGCCTAGTGTGTAAATTAAGAAATGGTAAAGTGAAATAGTGAGGCTGGTGGACTGTTTGGGTGGCTGCCATGATGGGCCAGGATAACCAGTGGCCCCGTCCCTGGCACTGTGGCACTCCCACGGTCATACTTATATTCATCTATGTCACGCTCTCGCATTGAACACCATTGTCTGGATTACTATAGTACCATAAATTTGTGTTAGGAACAGGAGCTTGAGAACTGTGGCATTGTTGACGTTGTGACTGTCAAACTGTCAGATGAGGCATATCTGACTCGGGTGTTTTTTTTATGTTTGTAGTTGAGTTTATAATTTTCTTAACAGAAAGAAGTAGTTATACGACTATTGGTATCAATTTATGGTGGTAGGGGAGTGTGAGCAGGTGGTGGGGCTGGGCCAGGCAGCCTTGTGTCTGGATGCTGCCAAAGAGTTTACCTCACTTTTGAGCCTTGCAGGTGTACCAACCTCCAGTTACAATAAAAAGAAATAGTGAAAAAAGCTCATTATTCTCACAGTTAACTAATGTGTAGTGATATTTTATGAAGCATATGAGAAAGTACTTCATGAACTTAAAGAATGGTACTGTGAGAAGGATGAATTAAACATATTTAGTATAGCATCTTAAGAGTCTCCCTTGTGCTACCTTATGGTTCATTCTGCTATGAGTTAATGTAGTGATTATTTGTTCACTACTGTTCGCATGCCCAACCAACATAGTTTTTATCTCTGGAAAAACAGATTGACATTATCTTGAAACAGATATTTTATAGCAAATCTTGCAGTTAAAAATGTGATATATAATAAGATCATTATGGGTGTGCATATGTAAGAAAACTCTAAGATAATCTGTGCAAATATGCATCGTGAGTATTAATACTTATACAGTACTGTAATTGTAATATACACTAATATTAGGAGGAATGTCTCATTTATTCTGTTGGTTTGGTCAGTAAAATTAAGCTAAGTTGAATATGTATTGGGATAGTTTTATAGTTAATGTAACTTAAGATTGTAAAAGTAAATTATAATGAGAAGTGTCTGTTTGAGGTGGATAAGAATACAATAACTTTAATAAACACTATTTTTGTGAATGGAGATTTTACAAGTTTTTTTTTTTCGTTGGTTTGTAACATTCAGTCTGATTTTTTGGTTAGTAAGACTTCGGTACTTGTCTTTGTTTCTAGTTAAATGGCTTTAAGAGACATTGAAAGTGGGCAAATTTTTTATAAAGAAAAGATGTAGGATCAAATAAATGAAAATTATAAGTGATATTACAGGTACTATTAGTTGTGTCTCATGTGATATTACTTTTAGTTGTCTCCAAACCCCAAATTTACATCTCAAAAATATATTTCTTGTACAGTCAGGGAAAAGTGTTTCTATACCTCCTATGAAATCCCCCGTCAAGATACGTATCATGCATTAATCTATATCCATATACGACTGCAAGGGGTGACTCGAAGCGTGATCCATGAGACATTAGTTAAGTCCCCACTCATCTTTACTACTGCGGCAATACCACATCTTGACTGAAGATATCACGGGTTATAGAGACATCTTTCTCTGACTGTACCTAACTTAAATAACTATAATCATGATGTATGATGCCTTGTCACTTACTTTTGAGATTTGTATAGAGCAGAAATATTTTTCAGAATGTTAGGAATAACTTAAATTCGGGATGAAAGACATGTTTGAAAATAATTATTTTTCAAAATATCAGGAAAATATCTTTAATTTTTTTCATTCCTGTCATATTCCTTCACTTCTACTATTTTTTTTTATTGCATGCAGTATTTAAATTTCAAGAGATGTGAACAAAAGCATTTGATAAATTAAATAAACTGCAAATGTTAATCCACTTTTTATGAGATTAAAAACTTAAAGAAACTGCTTAAAAAAGTGTACCTTTTATTCGCTATATAATGTTTTTAATAAAATTTACCCTAAATGTACACTTTTTTATTTTTTATTATAAAGACCTTCCCACTTTTTTTCATTTGACCCTATATTTTTGAGACAAATTGTAAATGTTGGTTTTTATTATTAGCTATTATTATTATTATTATTATTATTATTATTATTATTATTATTATTATTATTATTATTATTATTATTATTAAAATATTATTAGATGTGATGCTTTGGTTGGGAGTGGGGACCACTTTTTACTTTAATACAAAATAGATTGCCAAGATTTTCATAAGACTATTGGGTGCTACTATAGTATGCGGTCTACCAAGCTGGAGTTGGTCTACTAGGATATTTACACTGTAGTGTCTATTAACCTAACTTAATCTAACTTAACCTATCTTAACCCAATCTAACTTAACCTAACCTATCTTAACCTAACCTATCTTAACCTAACTTAATCTAACCTAACTTAACCTAACCTATCTTTACCTAACCTATCTTAATGTAACCAAACTTAATCTAATTAGGTTAGGTTAGGTTAGGTTAGGTTAATGGCTGCTACAGCTCGATAGACCACATACTATAGTAGTACTATTGTATTGAGAATATACAGGTACAGTAGAAATATATTTTTGTTAGGCTGTAGAAAGTTTACATGCTTAATGCCTTTTCCTGCCATTGGGTGCGTATATGACATTGAGCGATGTTCTAGTAATTCGGTGCTTATACTTTTATACTTGTCATTTGACATTCTCAACATTTGTAGTGTATTGATTCCTTCTGATCGCTATTTACTTGTTTTACTTCTACTGTTAGAGTAATATTTACTGCTTTGGCATAGATAGCATTCATTAGGACCATTTCAAAGGTGCAGGAACCTTATTGTAATTACCTTGCTCTTCTTGATGGTCAATTAGTTATTACAATGGAACTTGGTATGTTTTTACTTTATCACATAAGGATGTGGTGCATGCAGAGTTGACCTCTTCAGCATTCAAGATCGGGGATTTATTCACTGTACGGGTCCCTTGTAGTGACACTTTGTTACTTCCGAGATTTTAAAATTTCAGTTTATATACTGTAGTTTTAACTGTTACTATATAAGTTTGATCATCAAAATCTTTTGTGAAATAGGTTTGATATATACGAGGGATGCGTTCCTGAAAACCCTCGCATATACCGAAATCGCATACAGGTATATCATTACTAAGTTAAATGGTAAAAAAAAAATAGTATGTGTTCCATAACCCAAAAATGAAAATGTTCCATACCCATTTTCAACACAATATCAAGACAAATAAACCATAATACAAATCAATACAATACAGGGTACAGTACAGTGTACTTAACAATGAAAGCTTTTTCATTAGCTTGGGTAGATGAGATGATGGAAGTGGTGGTAGAGTCTTCATGGTTGGAATCCATATCAGAGGTGTGCAACATCTCGTGTAAGGCTGAATTTTGCTCACATTAACTGAATTCTTGGTAGGAATAGGGTTTTTGCATATGAGTGAATTCGCATACTGTATGCTGAACGCGAATATATCAAGGACTTATTGTACAGTATTAGCTCATCTGGCCTAAAATGCTGTGTAAGCATATGCTACAGTGCAGCACACATTCTCTGTTGTTTAACAGTCCATTATCCTATCAGTGTCAAATGACTTCTTCTCGAGAACCACTAGTCCAGTTCCACCGAGCTTGGCACAAATCATTCCTGGAAATCAGATATGGATTTGTACAAATGATGTTACTCATCCTTTTAGGTCTTTTATGGGATGATGGTAGTAAGAGATAAAATTTCTTCTCAAATTGCTTTGCCTGGTAATTATTCGACTCAAAGATCCCCATATTTTTAAATGGTCAGCGCAGCCTTTGTAATTACAGTGTACAATTCTTTAAAGTTACGAGGCATTATTTTACTACTGTACAGTATTTGAGTTTTAGTATCCCAGTAGTATTTGCTAATGACAAATGAAGTGTTGGTATTTAGTAATGTTAATTTATGAAATACTGTAGTACATCCTTTATAGTTCCTGTTTTATACAGTACCCTTTACCTCTTGTGTACAGAGCTCTCTGTGACAAATAAAATCTCCTGGCATAAGCCAAATGACTGGGTTTTCCTTTGAAATAGAAAGCATGTATTGTAAATGTTAGTTCAATTATTGGTGTCCAGTATTGTGTTTATTATCCACCGGAATGTGTTTCTTACCCGTGACATAGAACAGCTATCCTCAAACTACTGTACTATGATCATCCAAGCTTGAACTTAAGATACAACTTCTTAAGAAAGCTGGAGTAAATATTCATAAGGTGATATGTTCTAAAGATATCCCTTGAGGTATTTATTCGATTAATGTAAACTATGAACTCCTCCATGTTAGTGTTGAAGTTTTGTATACAGTACTGTATTTGGCATGTTGTGGAAATCTGGAAAAGGCTCTTTAGACTGCCAAAGCAGCTATTTTACAGTCACCAAACGTATAATAAAGATAATGCAGGCAGGCATCTGAAAAGGTATAAGGATAGTCTTAAGACAAACCTGAAAAAGTTCCAAATCGACCACCTCACCTGGGAGACGATTACTCCACACCTTAACGCTTTGAGGAACACTACACGAGAAGGTGTCAATACTTTCGAGTTAACCCGACTGCATACCGAGGCAGACAAGCGCCAATGGAAAAACACTGCCACTGCCCCTCTCGCACTCGATGTAGCCCTCCACCATACAACATCTGTGGAAGACCCTGCTGGTCCCATATCGGCCTCTCTAATCACCTCGGAGTTCGCCAACGAAAGTGACATCCCTAATAACTCGTATCATTGTCTCATAGCTGGTTGATCGTCATACTAGATTCCAAGTGACAGCAAAGTAGTAGTAGTACTGTAATGCAAATCTAATGGAGGAGCTAAGAAAGACTGTTTTGAAATTACTGTACAGTACTACTAAGGAAGCAGCAAGTATGGTTTGGCCTCCACTTGCATGATACCAAAAGGGTTACTTTATCAGTCTGACTATTTG